GAAAGACCTCGGGAGCAGAAGGAAAAGCCTCCTCCGGGCAAGACTTGGCGTGCTCGGAGCCAAGGAGAAGCTGCTCCGGGGACCTCGCCCCCTCCCTTTCCCGCTGGAGAAATTGCCGTGGATGCGTTATCCAAGTGGTGGTTGGGAAGATTTGCAGCAGAATTTTTGGTTTTCCCTCCCCCTCCTATTCATGCTGTTTTTTTTCCTCCTTTTTCTATTTTCCTCCTTCCCGGGAAGTGAATTGCGGATGTAAGGGGACTTCACTCATTAATGATGCAACCGGATTCGTTTCAGGATTCTGTTGCACGCGTTGAATTTTGAATGAAGGAGAAGAGTTCTTTTCTTTTTTTTTTAAAGAAGTGTTGAGTTCGTTGTACTTTTAATTTTTTATTTAAGTATCCAATTGTATTATTTTAAGATGTATTAAATATATATATATTTTATGGTAACTTGCCCTCAAGATATATGTATATGGGTGAAATTGAAGACGCTTCATTTAAGTGAGGTTACTGGTGTATTGGATGTTTAATTCAGCACCGGCATTGCATGACAGTTGTTGGAATAACAAGTGGTTTATTTTTAAAACCACACCTTTTAAAGTTTAGGTTCAAATAGGTATAGGAAAAAGTCTAATAACAGTTTAAAAGAAAGCCAACAGAAATCGAAGCAAACATGTCCGGAGAAGTGCGTTTGAGGCAGTTGGAGCAGTTTATTTTGGATGGGCCAGCTCAGACCAATGGGCAGTGCTTCAGTGTGGAGACCTTACTGGATATACTCATCTGCCTTTATGATGAATGCAATAATTCTCCATTAAGAAGAGAGAAGAACATTCTTGAATACCTAGAATGGGGTAAGTGTGTATTTTGTCTAACTCTTAATCTTTAGCTGGGCGTTATATTTACTTGTTACAGAGAGTTATGAGCAGCCTCTAATGAGAAAAGATACATATGTAGTAAAACTAAAAGGACACCAATTATTCAAGATTTTCTCCCCCTAGTTTTTGGTATGTGTTTTCCCAGGAGTAAAAATCACACTTTTCAATTGTTGCCTTGATGTAAGGCCTAGCTGTTGTGGAATTTATGATAAAGAACTTACGTTTTTAGGTCAGCAGCAGGAGATTTAAAGTAAATTCTGGGATAGGCAAAATGGATTATTGCTCATAGTTGCCTAATCCCTGGCAGCGTAGCAGCCATTCAGTGGAAGGTGTTTGTTGGTGGAAACATTCTTTCCCAGACTTGGGAAATCACTCCTGAAATGGGAAGAGATAGTGAAATACCTGTGTTTATTTTAGGGCGGCAGGATCATGAATGTAGTGATCAGTGGGTTTTATTTTATCTCTCTGTCGGACAAAGGAAATGACTACAAAATGGACCTTCCAAAAATGGTTACGTTCCTAAAATGCAATGACATAAATACTTTAAAACTATGACAACAGTTGTTTGAGAATGTTTAGGAGCATCAGATGTTAGATTTTATTCTAAAATGTTAGATTTTATTCTGAATCGAATTTCAATCTAAACTGGGTAGATTTTTGGTGTAGTCTACTAAACGTAGATGTGATTAAGACCTGTTGTAGTGGGAAAGATCAATGACACGAGCAAATTCTCCTCGTGACCTTCAAACTTGAAGGCTTGGTTGGGCTGAAGTTTTTCAGCCTCTGATGTTATACATAGTGTAAGGTCCCGCAGTTCACGTCGTCTCCCAGACCTATGGTGAACTTCGGCTTTGGAAGGATTTTGGCCAACTGCATGTAGCATGGTGTGCTTTTGCAATACTGATAATTTTAATTTGTTGTAAAGTTTTTATTCTGAAGTATCTTCGTTCCTCCATAAAGCTCTCCTGAAGTAAAAAAATCAAGTGCTGATTTTTGTTTTTTAATTTGAAGTTTATTTCAAATTAGTTTCTCAGGTAATCACTGATGCAAGGATAGACATACAAATTTTATTTATCCAGTGTGCCAGCGGTAGATTTCTAGCGACAATAATGTCATGACGTTTTAAGATATATGTAAATGTGAATGGAATGATTTTTAAAAACAGACTACTAGAGTCATACTGGGAATGTAAGAAATCTAAACCATTTTTCAAGCAACTTCTCCAAGACAGTTTTGACTTTGGTATTGGTTTTGTTAGAATATCTTTTTAATATGTAAAATATTCCATAAAGCAAAATATTTTATAAAGCACTTGTAGTTTTACATGGCATGTTTAATAAATTTAGAAGTTCTGTAGTGTTTTGTTTGAAGATTAAAAAAGTTTCAATACTTTTAGAATTGGAGTTTGAGCTTTTCAGTGGTGGTTTCATGGTGGCACTCTAGTCTGTGATTATGATTATTCTTTCTCACTGCAAAATAATGACCCTTTTCTTATGTACCAGTGGTAGATGTAGTTTTAAATAATTTATGGTAAAAGACAAAGCCATATCCTTTATTGGCTTTTGGTTGAGTTTATGTAGTAGTTTCATGCTATCGGTTGCCATATGGTTAGAATAATTTGTTTTTCCACTAAATGAATTTTCCTGAATGTTGCTTCTTCTAGTTGTATAAAAACACTTTATGTGTTTATGTAAAGCCAGAAAGGTAAAAAGACCAAGAATTTTGCCAAATATATTTTTATTAATATATTTAAAATAATTTCATAGCCAGGTGCAGTGGCACACACCTGTAATCCCAGCACCTACAGAGGCTGAGGCAGGAGGATTGTAAATTCAAGTCCCACCTGGGCAATGTAGTGAGACCCTGTCTCAGAATAAAACGTGAAAGGGCTAGGGATATAGCTCAGTGGTAGAGCAATACATATTCCCAGTCTCAATATTGGGAATTGAGATTTCTTTTAATAATTTAAGACCAGGAGCCTGGTATGGTGGCTTATGCCTGTAATCCCAGCTTTTGGGAGGCTGAGGCATGAGGATGGTCCACAAGCTTGAGGCCAGCCTGGACTACATAGTAAAATCCAGTCTCTCTGAAGAAAAAACAAAAACAAAAAAACAAACAAAACAGAACAAAAAATCGGCCAAGAAACTTCTCACAAAATTGAGTAAATTCTTTTGTGGTATCCTTCACACATTCTGTTTTTAGAAGTTGGATACTGTATGTGGCATGACAAAGGTGCAGTCTCTTTTAACTTACTGTTTTTCAGTATTTGGAGAACAAGAGAATAGAATTTTTAAGGAATTGATGTGTATACTTTAGGTCTGGGCAGTGTTTGTTACTGCTCAGGTTTTTCTTTTCTTTTTTTTTCTTTTTGGCAATACTGAGGATGGAACGAGGGCATGTTAGGCAGCACTTTAGCACTGAGCTATACCCCCAGTTCCTTCGGGTGTTTTTAAGTTGGAGTATGAGGTCTTGAATATGGGGTTTATCAATCATAAAAGTTTGAGTAAAGCATAAGAAAAGAAAGTTAAGAATGAAAAAGCTAGGAGATCTAAGTAGTATTACTATCTTTAGGGGAATTTAGGTTAAGAATAAGTATCTTTTCATTTAAGTATTGTAATAGATCTACTGTTCTTCATGTGTTAATTGACTACTGCATCTTGGAGAAATGTTCTATTTTATTCTCATTACCTGATGTTATATAAAAAACCAATATAGGTTGAAGAAGTTCCTGGATTGTGAATTGACCTCAATTTATTTTTTTACATTTTTTTTTGCGGGGGTGTCCTCTGATAGAAATTTACCACAATTATTGTTGGATTTAATATGATAATTTAGATTTGCCTTAACTGATGTAATTTTTAGTTGGATTTTAATATTCAGGAAGTATTGAGTCTAAATATTTAAAAGACCCAGTAATTGCAACAGAAGAGCAGTATAATTAAGTACTGTGTATTACACTAAGTACTTTATATTTGTTTTTGTATTTATCATTATGAAAGTATCACCTAGATACTCATTTTTATGCTGCTGATAGGTTTCTCTTAAAAATGGAGTCAACCACGATTCTGTCTATATTGCTTCATTTCCATCAAATTCATTTTATTCCTTGTTATGGTCTATTTCACTTTTATATTGGTATTTTTAATATTTTGTTAATAACGCTATCATGACAGTAAGAAAACTGATCATTCAAAGTCAGATGTGTTATTTTTCTTTAACTGTCTCCTTGCTTTTGTGCTGATGCCTTGAAGGAGGAAATAAATACAGCCGGAGAGAGATAGAGGAGGGGATTAAGCCAGTGAGCACTAGCCCAAGGAGGGAAAAATCACCTTAAGACCATTGAACATATTTAAATTTAATAATATGTATTATTTTCCAGTTCCAGCCAATAAGATTTGAAAGACTATTTTCTGTCTTCTTTGTTCTTTAAGTTGTTAAAATAATTACAGTTTATGCTTGAGTGTAAGTGATAGTTTTGATGTTAGTAGCATAACTTTAGAATACTTTAGAGTTGTAGAAGTAAAAACAACTTTTACATTATGAACTAACTTATTGGTGAGTTAAATATTGATGGAATCAGCTGTCCCTTTGAATTGGGAAGTTGGAATTATAGGGAATTCTTTGCCAGTTTACTTAAAGTCTGTGATGGTGTTACTCATTATGAAAGAAATTTGTGAGGCTGTGTATATATGGATAACTTTTTTTGATGCTTTCTGAACTTGGTAATATTTAGTTATTAATTAATAAATAGCTTATTCAAATTGCATGCGTGTTATACCCAGAGGGTAGTGTGATTAATAAAGCTGTTCCCAGGAAACATCAGCAGATACTGGTATGTGTGGCATAAACATTTCTTTTTATTAGAGTAGTTTTAAAGTGTATTCATATTTGTTCATGTGTGGGTTAATTGTGGTGATGGCTTGAGCCGAATGTTTTCTAGGATACTTTGTTCTCGTCTGTTACTCCTCATTGTTAGCTTTTCCTGAGTAGAATTTATTAATCATACCAATTTATCAAAATGCACATTGAATACAGGTGATTATTTATATTTTCATGTAAGCTCTCAACTAGAATAATCATAAATGTCTTCTGAAATATAGGTTGGGTATTTAATTCCTTTTGACTAGTCACCTGATATTCTATTAAATAATTATTTTGTCTAACAGTGCTAGCGCATGGTAGGAACATGTTCAAAAATGATTATTATTTCATTTCTGTCTCTTCTATTTTTCTCTTAAGTTATACTTAGAGGTAGTTGCCAAATGGTATCAGTTATTGCAACAGCTTCAGATATTGATGAGTAATTGAGGAGCATCATTTTAAAAAAAAAAGCATTGGTTTATAGCCTTTCCTAGTGGCTGAGGCAGTGGGATTACAAGTTTGAGCCCAGCCTAGGCAACTTAATGATTTAGCAAGAACTTGCCTCAAAAAGTGGGGTGGGGGGAGTGGGGCATGTAGCTTAGTGCAAAGGCCTTGGATTCAATCCGCAGTATTCCCCCAGCCCCCATTGCTGTGTGGGTGTGTATGAAAAGGATGTTAGGATTAACACTTGCGGAATTTTAGAAATACAGGTATTTCATACGAAAGTTTAAGGGATACCTTACTACAGCAGTGTAAAAATAAATACTGTAATATTTGGTAAATTTCATGAAATATCCTATAAATCTTAGGACTTGATACTATTACACAGTGAGCCCAGGCTGTTTTAGGTAAAGAAACTGAAATTGGGATAAATAAGTATTGTGCTATTCCATGGCAGTCAAACAATTTTTTCTAAAACTTTTTCCCTTTCGGTACTTATTGTCGGTATGTTGTATATGAAGCTCACTGTTTTTCATCCTGCTGGTTGTGATAGGTTTTTAAGTCAGTTTACTAAGTCTAACTAGCATTTAAAGAATTAAATAGATCATAATAAAAAATAATAAGCTCATCATATATAGAAAGAATAAGTATCATTATGCAAAACACTTGTGTTT